TCAAATGCACGAATCATTCTTCCAAGGATTTAACTTATAAAGGGGCAATTTTGATATTTTCCTTTTAGACGTTAGTTTAGATGTTTTCCGTCAAACTTTTACTTTAGTTGAAACGACGGAGAGTCAAATTATAGGTTTCCAAACTATAGGGAGATAAAGTGAACATTAGTCAAACTACGGGGGGTTTTTGGTATTTAACCCAATACTATATCAAGCTTTTCTTGCTTCATCTCAATCTGACATTACTAGGATAGATTAAATTATGCAAAGCTTAAGGACTTAGTTGATGCCAGCTAGGGAAAATTCAGTCCTTGTCTTGTATATCTTGGGAGTGTACAGTTGGAATCAGGAATTTCCATGATTAATGAGGAATTGTTTGCAAAGAATAGCGGTTGGATGACTGGATTTTTGTTAAGGTAAAGATTAGCATAAGCAACTTTTGCCTCTCTCTCTCTGTCTCTCTCTGACAGGTACTATTTACTTAAACAGTTGTATTATAATGTGTCCTAAACAAAAACATTTTATATTTGCCTTTAATGCATAAAATAATTGTCTTCTGTCGCTAATAAAGTTACAGGTTACCCTTGACACAAAAAAAAAAAAATGGGTCAGCTAGATGTTTGAAGAAAACTGGCCTAGTGTCAATAAGATTTTGAAGTTTTTAAAGACTGCAAATCTAGTGGGCATTTATCCAAAAGGATGTTTCCTTTAGACGATTTATAGTTTTACCTTGGAAGAAAACAGTGGGCAAAAAAAACTGAAACAAAGAAGAGAGGGATGAATAAACCTAACCTTAAATGTTCAGCAATTAAAAAATATATATACTAAGGCTTGGTTTAATAACTCAATTCATCACTTAAACTTAATGTGTTCAAATCTTAATATGTTCAGTTGCGTTTGATGATAAAAAATAGAATATCTGAATTAATTAAGTAATACTAAATTTTCTAAACAAAATTTGATTCCAAAATAAGTGATTAAGATATTCACTTATACTTAATGTAATATATACTGAATATATCAAAATTTATGTAACTTAATTGTTTAAATAACTTTAATGGATAGACTTGAATGCAATTTTCAAAGACTTAAGTTTTATCTAACGAAACCCTATTATGGTTCTTTTCACGCTAAGTGGAAAATGGAAACTTTTATGCTTAAAATATCTTTCTCTAAGACAAAGAAAGCCAAAACACAATTTTTCTAATGAAGGGCAGGATTAAACTACTTCGAAATGAATCTTTACAACGACGAAATTTTGCCGAGTGTAATAAGGAAAACAACTGTGAAGAGTATTGAATACTAGTATCACATTTATCTCATTCTGCAATAAAAGTTTTTTTTTTTTTTTGGGTTTTAGCTTGCGATACAATTCGGATTGTCTTTTGTAGATTTTTATCATTTTATAGCTAAAAAGAATGAGTATGTTCTTGAAGAAATTAGATTTAGAAATTATTCAAAGTGGACATTTGATTGAGCTTCAATGATTGAGTGTCACCTCTTCCCATAGACTTTAAAGTAAGTATTTATTTATTAAGTCATTTATTTTTTGGCGCTTTTTGTCTTCAAGTTGGTATTCAGAGTATGCCTATTGGATATGATTTTTTTAATACTTTCTTGAGTTTATATTGGAAATTTTATTTGTAGCTCTGTTGTGATTGTCCTAGAAAATTAATTGGAGCCTAGAAACAGTTACGAGGAAAAAAAAAGTTTAAACTTTGACATAAAAAAAGATTAAAAAAAAGCTGAGAATTGGAGTAAAAATGGAAATTAGGATCTGGTTTTGGATTAATTGCTTTAAGTGGACAAAAGGGTTCACATGATACGGTGTACCTTTTATCTAGGTTCTAATTTTTTTTCAAAAGTAATTTGTCAAAAATGGTTTGATATCAAGGAAGAATTAAGGAGCCATTGGGGTAGAATGGTGTAAACTTTGATTTTTTTTTTTTTTTTTGAAATTTCACTTCGTTCAAGTGTCTCTTAGTTTTATGTACATTGTTTTTGTAGGTTTTTCTAGTATAGTTATGAGCTTTTTTCTTGATTCACGTTATAGTTATTAGTATTTTTTTTTTTATGGAAGTTAGTATTCAGGATATTCTAATTGGCTATGATTTTAATTTCTTCCTTTCTTGAGTTATTTTTATCTGGGAAATTTGATTAATGGCTGTGGAAAATAATTGGAATCGAGAAAGAGAAATTGGGGGAAAAAGTGTAAACTTTGACATTAAAAGATTAAAAAAAAACCTGAGAATCAGATTGAAAATGGAATTAGGAATTAGTTTGGTTTTAACTATTTTAAGTAGAAAAATGGGTCTACATGAAATGGAGCACATTTTCATCTCTTTTTTTTTTTTTTTCCTCAAGTAGTTTGTCAGTAATGGATCTGCTTCTTGATACTAAACTTTTCTCTACAGTATAAACAACATTTGTATACACTATAGGATCTCTGACCAGTTTGCTTTTATAACAATTATTTGATAATTGCAAATATATATATATATATATATATATATTTAATACTTGGTTTGGCAGAACATTCTGGCTTGAATACTTCTTACCAAACTCCGGTGTTGAAGGAAACAATGAGGATGAGGAATCCATGGCCCAGATTTTCTTTTTTTTTTTTCTCGTATTATTTTATCTCTTCCCTCTATAATATAATGACAAAAGTTGATGAGTTCAATGGGTTGTATAGAAATTCTCCTATAGCAACAGTGATTTAGACCCCTTCTACTACTAGACTAATAGAGCAAGAGACTTTTTTTAAAAAAAAAATTATTTGGCATCCTGCCTTGGCAGGTGAAGCTTTCTTAAAAAAATAGAGCCCAGCTCTTCTTTTTTTTTAAAAAAAAAAATAATAATAACTCTTGCCTGCTTGCTGAAATAGTTTAGGAAAACAAGAGTGTGAAAGCGTTGTCGGATATTTTTTAGACAATATTCTAAGGAATTAATCAGTGAATCCTAAATGCCTTTCAAACACCTTTTGTATTAATACATACTACACATTCTTTAGTTTCCAAAAACGGATTAGGTTACCAACGAAAGTAATAACTGTTCTGAACGATGTAGTATTTTTAAAATAAGATATAATTATATGTGAATTACTTGTAAAATTTTTCAATAGAGAATCCACGTAAACAGTAACAAAATATTACATCACATGTATAAAAAATTTACATAAAATTACAAAACGTTAAAAAAATGTGTTTGGATTGTAAGTTATTTGAAATATTTTTACTGTAGCACTTTTTGTGATGTAATGTATGTGAGATAAAAAGATAATTTGGAAGATAAAAAGGTGTATTGGAAATTGTAATGGTGATGTCAGCAAATATATTTGGCCAAATAATTGGCTGTCCAAACACACTCATTATACTGTTCAAGGACGGTTGATGCTCATCTTCCTCCAAAAACACCTGGAGTGTTTGGATTGCAAATTTTCAAAGAAAAATTACTACGTTTTTTGTGGACACATTTTTCAATCATTTTTTATCTCATATATATATATATATATATATATCAAATCGTTACAATAATTTTTTTATTAAAAAATTTATAAAAATGCAATCCAAACAAATTGATCCGCCGCCTGTGTGTCGTTTAAATGTTATAATTCCTCCCGCGATTGTGTCAACTCCTTTTTCAGTTGACTTAGGTAGCGTAGGATTCACTTCTTTCTTTTATGTCGAACTTCTCAGGGTAATATCTTCCAAGTTCTAAGTTCTAACCCTCCTTCTCCTCTTCCTTCACCAGTGATCCAGTGTTTCTTGTATATTGAAAGAATGACGAGGAATATGGAAGATTTATGGCGTCAGGTGTTTTCCGTTGGAACTGAATGGGAAGCGATGGATGAGATTTATGGGTCCAACTGGGATTTCTCCAACTTGGAGAATGCTTTCGAGGAAGGTGGAGAATTGCTTGGCCAAAACGTTTATCTCTTTGGCTGCACGGAAACACAGGGCATAGCTGATGCTTCCCTTGTGCCCGTGGTTGTTGCTGTGGTTTCACGATTTGCTCCCTCTGATAAAATTGCAATAGTATCAGTTCAACGAGCAAATGAACAGATTTGGCCTATGAAGCGGCTGAAGATGGATTGGTATCCCTATATTCCATTGGGAAGAAGGGATGCTAAGGTGGAAGATCTCAAAAGCTGTAGGGTATTTATACTGAGGTGCAAGCAAAGAAAGGTTGGATTGAAGCAGTTGGGAATCGACAGGGCGAAGGAGTATGACTATTGCTTGCCTCATTTTTACAACCCCTTTAAGAAAGATGAGGATGATCAGCAAGAAAGTGAAGTACAAATATTGTTTTCTAGAGAATCTGAGCCTCCACTGATATGTTCGTTTGATTGGGAGCTGGATGTCCTGGACGAGTTGATAGAACAAGAAGCTTTAGCTGCTGATGAGAAGGATGCATTTAAGGATTTTGTGAAGGAGAAGGTTAGAGAAGCCAAGAAAGTCCAGCGTGAAGCAAGGGAAGCTAAGGAGAAAATGTTGCAGGAGATGGGCGACGAAACAAGAGCTGCATTTGATAGTATCAGGTTTTACAAGTTTTATCCTGTGTCGCTTCCTGGTTCCCCTGAAATAGCCAAGTCTTCATTCATAAACAGGTATTACGGGAATGCTCACAAAGTTTTGTAATTTAAGATTTGCATCAAGTATAGACTCATCATAGTTCCTATGTGAGACAGTTTGCAATTGCAGTTGCAGGTAATGAATCAGCTTTATGTATCAAACTAGAGATTTTTGTTGAATTAGATTCCTCTTATTTGTTTGTGTATGAAAATTTTCAGGGCTTATGATTCCGAAGTCTTCTTGTTGTTTTCTAAATTTGGAAGATAATAAAACATTACGGCAAACCATAAGGGCTACAGAAGACATCGGATATTAATATCCGTCTGATTGCGCAAAAAGATACAGTTCGTGGTAACAAATAGTTTAACAAAAACTCCACGCACACAGGAAGCATGCCATCAGATGAAGGCGCGTTCCCAAAAGGTAACCCTGAAAAAGAATTTCAAGACTCTTGAGTTCTGTTCCCATTGATCTACATAACAAATTTACAGATGAAGAGGCAGCACCACAGGAGCAAACCACCTTGCTATCTGAACTACAATGAGTTAGTCGCTATCTGAACTACAATGAGTTTAGTTGCTATCGGACAGGAGAATCTAGGAAATTTTTCGAGAGAATGCGACAAAGTACAGAGAAAAGTCCAATATTAATCCAGATATACTTTAACATCAATACCATTATCTATGAGTGACTGAACTACTGCTCTAATTTTCCCTTCAAACTTGTCCCTGTCTCTGGGAGTGTAAGAGGCAGTATAGACATCAGCTTCTCTCGCCCTCTCAGCCAAGATGCGGCCTATGGCTAAACATGCCGGTATATCAGATCTTGATTTGAGGACAGCTTTGATGTCTTTGGAATTTGTACCAGCAACAGCAACCTGCTTGCTTGTTACTCTATGCGTAATTGAAGCTGAAACAAAGCGTTTTGAGATGAGAACATCGAGTGTAAATGGTTCCATGTATGCAATAGTTCGTTGCTTGAATGAAATGTGCTTATTCGGATTTTTAGTCTTCTTCTCCTTTTGATATGTGTAGGGCCGGCTATTGTCATCATCGAGAAAATCTTCTACTCCAAAAAAGCTTCGCGGTGCAAAAGATATCTGTAAAATGAAATTATACAAAAGATGCAAAATACTACGTGATCAACAATGGGAAAACTTTAAAGCTGAGAAGACTGGTTGAGCCTAGGAATATTACATTACAAAGTCTCAAGGAAAGAAATATCAATCTAGAATGTGGGTATAATGTTAGCAGTGCACCCATGTTTTTGGAGAAAAGCTGCAATAATTTGGCTACTGTCTTTCACGCGCATAGAGTATGAAATTAGAATGAGATTATGATATAGCAGTGCAAGCATGCTTATGGAGGTTAGCAGTAAAAGTTTGGCTACGGTAATAAACCTCTTCTCAAATCTGCTTGGAAATAAACCTCTTCAATTAGCAAATCAAAGTGAAGAAGTTCAAAGTTTCTCTACCTTCCATTCTCATATCCCTCGTACCTTGAAAAACATAAGATGCAATACATAATGTTCTAACAGGAATTACTTTTATTTCATTTTACTCCTAATACCAATTCCAGATAACATAATAACTAGATACTGCAAATTCCCTTTTTCTGTTTCATGGAAGGGCAGACGACCTGCCCAGGTGGTGGGGGTGGACGGCCCTTCTGTTGGGCAATTCAATGGGAAAGCATGAAGCCAATGTATTGGCTATAGTCGGCAGCAAATTCTAAGGACTCATAACTTTAACAAAGTGGATTTCTTATAGGAAAATATATAGAAGTCAAATTTTTAAACTTGTGAAGTAAATAGAACTCAGTAATCGATTGGAATGACTCTAAAAGAAGTTAGATGAAATCCAGATTAAGAAGCCAACAGAAACCTAGTTCTGTAGATAAATAAATATCTCCTTCTTAGCCTAACATGACAAAGAAAAACTTGAATGATCCACCAGGCAGCAAGTAAAGAGTACAGGGGCAAAGAATGAACTTAACAATACACAAAAAAACGCATGTAATTTTCCTTTTCTCAATGAAATTGGTTCCGTTAACTTCATGAAACCAAAAGAGATTAATATACACTCTGTAATATATCAAAGGACACAAAGATTCTCACAGAAGACGAACGTACATTAGGCAAACAAATTCAGATATGCAAAAGAAACAGAAAATTAAAAATAGAGAGAAAAAAACTACAAGAGACGATCAAATGCTTACCTGCCCACTGTGGAAATGAGCTCTTTGTAAACATAATAAAGGCCTGATTTTGTCAGCCCCATGTATACTCAGTCTATGACACACTTGCTTCAGCATTATATCATAAGCCACTGTTAACCAGCAAAAAGGACAGCCATTGAGTAATCAAAACTCATCCCCTTTAACTGAACAGACATTTTGTCGAACACCTAATAGACATTCACATTGCATCCACATTTTCTAAAGATTCAGTTAACGAATTAAATTAAAATCCATCAGTCGATTCACGCATTTTCTAAGCTTCATGTTTTCATAACCAGTTCGTGAAATTTCTTAAGCTAATTTATCAGCCAAGATATACATGATTAAAGAGTGATTGTGGACGGAAAAAGTTGTTCCAAAAGGTAAAATTGCACCAAGAAAAACTTGCAAACACGTTAAGAAACAAAAAGATAGGGTACCCCTTTTCAGTATTGCGTACTTAAACAGCAATCCTGAGCTCCAGTTCACTGGCGCTCTTCAGTTTGTTTCTTCTTCTTCTTCAACAGGAGGTGAATGAGAGCTATTTTACTCTGTTTCTCCGAGCCAATAAGAGATGCAAGGCAGGCCCGTTTGAATTGATTTATAGGCCCGCCAAAGACTCGTTCTGATACTGAAAGTCATGTTCTTGGCCCAATTACAAAACTTTCAATTTTGGGGCATTTCACATGAATTTTAATACTAGAAAATAAATATTTGGAGGCAATATCGAGTATTCAGAAATAAAAAATTTTAAAAAAATTGACTAATTAGTCATTAGTTTGGGAGAATGAATGTATCTTTGAGTTAAAATCAACTTCCATACCTTCCAAAAAAAAAAAAAAAAGAGTTAAGTTTCTTGTTGTTGCACTTATTCTTCGCTTCTATCCTTGAGTTATTATATTTCCAACCATCCGGATGTTCGTGTGAAGATATGTAGAAGTGGTTTCATTGGAGATTATTAAGGATTTCTTGTATATCTATGTAAATGTGGTTTCATTGGAGATTATTTAGGATTTCTTTTATATCTAATTTTTTTTTTAATACTGTGATATGTGGAAGATAAAGATAGGTATGTTCATATCATTTTCATAAAGATTTTTTCTTATAGAAATGAGTTCGAATACATGTCATTTATGCAAAAAATAAATTTTAACTTGGAAGAAAGATTACTGGTCACATCAAACCAACTAGTATAAACAAAATCTTGATATTGTCAATACATACATACATACATATACACACATGAATATGTATATATGTATGTATGTCTATGTATATGTATATGTGTGTGTACATACATACATATGTATGTACGTATATAATCTAGTGTCTAATAGTTCTTTTTTTTTTTTTTGGTGATACTACTCTTTGAGAGCTCAAATATACGTTTTTATAAGCTAAAAGAGTTTTTATAAGTATTTTACTAAGAGTATTAAATATTCAAGTTTGAACTTGAACTTAGCGTATTAAAGTATAAAGTTGAATTCAAGCTCCAATTTGATTTTGAAGACAATTTAATTATATTTTTAATAAATAATACATTATTTAGAATAAATTTAATTATATTTATTGATTTTTAAAATATAAATAATGCTAATTTATGTATAATTAATTTTTTAGTAAAATATAATATATATATATATATGTAATAATATTAAATGTATTTATATAAACGAGCTGAGTCGAGTCGAATCTCCCGTTATTTTTATGAAGTTTGAACTTGAGCTCGAGCTCGACGAGCTCAAAATATCAAGCTCGCTCGAGCTTAAAAAATAAAAAATAATAATTATTTTATTTTTTAAAACAAAAAAAAATAATAATTATTTTATTTTTTAAAACAAATAAAATAATAATTTTTTTACAAATAATAAAATATTAGAGATATATATGTAATTTTACTATTAAAATAAAAAATATATATATAATCGAGCTCGCGAGCCAACAAACTTAATGTTTTTGAGTTCGACCTCGTATTCTAGCCGCTCGCGAACAGTCCTAATCTGAACGTCCATGTGAAGATATGTAAATGTGGTTTCATTGGAGATGATTAAGAATTTCTTGTATATCTATGCAAATGTGGTTTCATTGGAGATTATTTAGGATTTCTTTTATATCTATTTTTTTTTTTAATACTGTGATACGTGGAAGATAAAGATAGGTATGTTCATATCATTTTCATAAAGATTTTTTTTATAGAAATGAGTTCGAATGCATGTCACTTATACAAAAATTAAATTTTAACTTGGAAGAAAGATTACTGGTCACATCAAACCAACTAATATAAACAAAATCTTGATATTGCCACTACATACATACATACATATACATGCATGTATATGTATTTATATATATGTATGTATGTATGTCTATGTATATGCATGTGTGTGTACATACATACATATGTATATACGTATATAATCTAGTGTCTAATAGTTTTTTTTTTTGGTGATACTACTCTTTGAGAGTTCAAATATAGGTTGTTATAAGCTAAAAGAGTATTTTACTAAGTGACTCTTAAGTATCTATCCCCTAAACTGCTAGCTATTATCCATCTTCACCACTAATACTTAGAGTTTTAATGAATCGAATCAAGTCGAATATTTGGTGTTTATGTTATGTTTGTATATTATACGAACAGGGTTTGAATTCGACTCGAATATTAATGAATTACAAATATATTCAAATTCGATTAGTTTATTTGTATAAATATTCAAGTTTGAACTTGAACTTAGCGTATTAAACTATACAAGTTGAATTCAAGCTCCAATTTGATTTTGAAGACGATTTAATTATATTTTTAATAAATAATACATAATTTAGAATAAATTTAATTATATTTATTGATTTTTAAAATATAAATAATGCTAATTTATGTATAATTACTTTTTTAGTAAAATATAATATATATATATGTAATAATATTAAATGTATTTATATTTATATTTATATATGCGTTCACGAACTATTTAAAATAATTTGTAAACAGGTTCGTATTCGACTCGGTTATTAAATGAGACTAAAATTGTATTCGAGTTTGATTCATTTATTAAACGATCAAATTTTTTCAAACTCAAACGAGTTGTATACAAATGAGTTTGCAAATAGGTTGATTCGTTAAAAACTCTACTAATAGTTCATCCTCCGTCTATCTATCCCTTTCTTTCTATCCAAATTATTTTCTTTTCCGAGATAGATAAAGTCTAATCTCATGTACTCAATACGCAAGGTATTAATAAAGCATTATTTGCTCCAGCCTGCAGTTCCTCCAAAAAAAAAAAAAAATGCTAAGGCATGATTTCATATTGTTGCCATAGAATGGGAAAATTAACTATTAAGAAACCAATATATGAGGTAAAAACAGAATAATAATTATGGAGACCATATGATGAGATATTGATAAGTCATTCAGCATAGTCTTTTTCCACAATATATAGCAAATAATAGAAAAGCAAAATAGATGGAGAAAAAAGATCTGTGAATCAAAGAGTAAATATCAAACTCAAAGATTAATACTTGATCCATTATTATTTCCACCTTCCAAAAGAAGAAGTACGAAATCGAATTTAAACGTCAATTTTTACTTCATTTGCTTTGTCAAGGAGACAATAATGAAAACTGCCAATTGATTACAGTAGAAAAAATGACTGGGGCGTTCCGAGAATCGAACTCGGGACCTCTCGCACCCAAAGCGAGAATCATACCACTAGACCAAACGCCCGGATGTAATACGATGCTTTACTTCATTTTTTCTGTCATGAGACGCTAATGAAAATTGAAAACCGCCCATAGATTACAGGAGGGAAAAAAGACTGGGGCGTTCCGAGAATCGAACTCGGGACCTCTCGCACCCAAAGCGAGAATCATACCACTAGACCAAACGCCCAGTTGCAAGGGGAGGCTTATTCTGATTTTACTGTCTTGTATCGCTTATTGTACAAGACTTCAATCCACTATTGCACTGCGTTTGATTCCTTAGAGAACTTGTATTATAATGTAGATTCAAATCTTTCTTGGTTTTTTCAGACGAAAGCATTATTTGTTCCAATATCAAAAGCTCATTTATCAACAATTAGTTGTAATTTGAACCAAGTATTTAAAATTTTAAATCTTAAGTACTAATCATAATCATTATCGCACAAGAAAATTCAGATTATTTGGAAATAGCGAGTCACTGAATGAAAAAAATGAATTATTGAATGACAACTTTACAAACATGTTGAACGTTCTCAGTTCTCACATGCCAGATGGTTGTTTTTTATGTACAAAGCTTGTTTCTTAGACACTTTTAAGGCAAGCAAAAGGAGAATTTCCAAGCTTTGCTGCCAGTGACGGAGCTAGGATTTTTTTCTTGGGAGGCCAAAATTTTTCCTTACAAAATTATTTTAATATGTGATGTTCAAAATAATTTCCATCTATTTAAATATATGACATCTAACAACATCAAATATTAGATTTAATTATAAAGGTATGAAAAAAATTAATTCAAAAATAATTAATTCATATATATATAAAGTCTTATAATATAAATTAAAATTGTAAATAATTAGGGGATCAACTTCGTTTTACACATATATTTACATGTTATGAATTAAAATTTTCAAACCTCACGGGGCCATGGCCCCATCAGCCCACCTTGGCTCTGTCATTGTTTGTTGCGCAATTCGATCATTGCACTAATTTTAGTGTCCCATCACCACCAAGTAGAGTAAGCAATTAAACATGCGAAACACATACTTACAAAAGAATTATACATTATGGTTTCTCTTGCTTAGGCAGGGTTTTTTGAAATTTTCAGGGCAAAAAAAAAAAGTGCAGATCAGAATGCTCAACCAACAAGACCGATATCTGGATGAACCTCAGAACTTTTACAGAATGAAAGTTGAAGACTAATTCTTAGCTTTACAACGTGAGAGGTGAAAACTAATATTCATGTTAATTTGGACAAGTTAGAGTCGTGGGTTTTGATAAGCAGCACTACGCTGAATAATTCTTGGAGCAAGCTGTACATTGGTAATAATTACACCTCGAATCAGAGAATTTCCCACTGCCTCTCCAGCTCGCAGCATATACGTCTCACACAAACACCAGCACTTAATGGAAGCGAGGAAACTGCAAACAAAACAGTTCTCAGGATAGAAACTCAAGGACAAACTAAAACAAAAGAATAGATGATCGTCCTTCATATGAAAATAGACTGAAATAGGGGAATGTATCCAAGAAAAAGGCAGAATTCGGCTACAATCAGGTATGTTCAGAATCAATCTTCCCATGAGCCATGGAACCAATCTGATGGGATAATTCGATAATCAGGCCTGTCTCATTTACAGAAAAGATGAGGCTAAACATAAAGGAAAGATCGCTTAATTAATCTGTGGAGAGTGACCATACTGTGAATACTAGAGTACAATCGTTGTTGATGGCAGTAACATAATCCCTCAAATTGACAGCCTTGGATGAGCTGAAGGAAAGCCCTGAACAAAAATTGCTCTTGATGATGGAAAGACAAGAAAAGATAGAGACTTCAGAAACAGGTGAACAATTTAATAGCTTACCTATTTTAAGGGAGTTCAGTGGCAAATGCTTGTCCAAAGGGTTCGCAATCAATCTCATTAGTTTTTCACCTTTACCTCTTGCTTTGATAGTAAACTTCTGCAACAACTCGGCTGTAGTACGTGAACGGTAAAGGGGCGAACGCGCAAGGGTGAATGCTTATCTAATGTGGATGGAGACTAATAGAATCAAACTGAACGAAGAAAGAAGACTTACACATTAGAGAACAAAATTTCCCCGGTGTTGGTGGTATGTTTATATGTGGTTCGATTCTGATAAGAAGCCTTTGGTCAGTTTTAACATACACTGCTTTAACCATACCTGCCATATTAAGCCGGCTACCCAATATATCAACAAGAACCTAAAGATAGAGGAGAGATGAAAATAGAATTATGAAAATAATAAGTATGAATTAGAAGAAGAGGCATAAATTAGAAGCCTCAAGACAAGATTGCTTAGATTTTACTAAAATAGTTTTTCCAATGCTGTCAAATACAACATGCTTGACAGTTACACAAGGGCAGATGGAACAGGTATATTTAATTCATGGAATTCCCGAAGGTAATGAAGACCAAGACGTGGATATATAAGGCAGAAACTTCAGGAAATACTTGAAGATAACAGACTAGCAAAGGCTATAAAATCATCTGTAAAATTCCAAATCCAATTGTAAGTTTGTAAAGCTACATACCTCATGGATAATGTCAGGTCTATAATCATAAGGATTCATGTTTTTCTTGCGCATAAAACCAGCATGCTTAAACTGAATGAAGGGAAACTGAAACAGACAACATGAATGTCAACAACTGAACATCAACTAGACCAATCAAATAAAAGCAATAACTTTTTGCCTTAAGTTTGAGAACTTATTAAACTTCAGATTTATGTAAATTAAACAAGAAAGGTTTTGCTAACAGGTATTATCTTGATATATGTACCCTCCCAACATAAGCTGGCACCAACGAAGCCTTTTCAAGGACAGAAATGACTCCAGGTTTGGAATTCTTGATGGAAGGAGCGAATGGAATCCCAGGTATATCAGTAGAAGTTTCACTGACATTCCTGAACTCCTCATGCATCAAAGATATGGTGTTTTCTTTCCTCTCCTCAGGAGTCGCTTCGAAAACAGTTTCCATTTTTGAAACAGGATTTTCTTTAGAACAGGGTGCAAGCTTTTCAATCGAACATGGCTGCATTAATAATTTTTTCCTCTGTCTTCTTTTTGACCTCCTGGTACAATTAAGAAGTATTCTCAAGACAGCTAATAAATAGTAAAATTGTAACAAGGCATTAATTCTTTAACTAGCAACTCAAAAAAGACAGCTATATATCTCCACTTTCATCCTATTCCCCAAGAAAAGTTCAACTAAACTAGACTTTATTTTTCTGCACAAATTCCTGCAGATTGACTAAAAGACGTGTGAGCACATTCACCCCTGATCAAAAGAAAAGGTCTAAAGATCAAAAGGTTTGTTTTGACAGGGTCTAGAGTACAGACACTATTCAAGAAATTGAGAGAAAAAAGTGCAAAATTCAAGTTAAAATAAAAAGCTAATCACCATTTTCAAATCAAAATTTATGATACAAGACTTGCAAAATTGAGTTTCTTGAATCACCAAACAACCCCTCATCATGAACTGAATTTCACGGGGAAAAAAAAAATCAAGAAACCGTGAACAATATACAAACGCAAATCACAAATAAGTGTAGCCAATTTCTGCATGGGAAAGCCATGCATGGCGCCTATGCTTACTTCTAATTTAAGCTGCAAGAAGAACAACTTCACAATACCAAAGCAGCAACAGTAATCCAAATAGTAACAACAATACAACAATAATTACCAAATTAAAAAAAATGTAAATTGGTCATGATGTTTTTACACTAGAATTTATTGGCATAATAACTTGTAGTAGTAGAAGCAATATTTTAGATTGTGATTGACATCTAGAGATAGCGTGAAATTACCTTTGGCAGCGGAGCGGAAGATTCTTTAGGCCATAAGGAGGAGCAGGAGGAAACAGAAAAGCCTGACGACGATGGCTTCGTCGCTGTCGGGGAGCAATCATGTTATCCCGACAGTAAAGATGGTGATTAGTTCTTGTTAAGGGCATCCACTAAAGTATAATTCACAAGCCACATTAGCATTTTATTTTCTTCTCTTTTATTGTACTCCCACTCACAATAGGCTACATTCTACAAGGTATAATAGCATGGATTTACAATTAAATCAAATATTTATTTTAATAATGCACAACTCATATTTCATAAATAAATAAAGTAATTTTTTTACAAATAATTTCATTATTTTTAAAAAATAATTTATTAACTTTCATTAAAAAAATAAGTAGGTGGAGGATACATGGGAATTGAATATGAAAATTTTCGTAGATTTTGGAAAGTTGATGGATGGTTGGAAGTGGATAAATTTAGGGGATATGCATTATTTTGCACATTTGGAGGAATACCAGAAAATGAGAAACTTGGGTAATTGGGAAAATTTTGGTGATTTGGATTTTGTGAGGAGGATGAATTTTCTATATTTGGAGCAATTAACATATTTGTAAAACTACTAAAATTCTCATCCATAATCACAAAATATTTAAATTTTAAAAAATTGTGCAAAGAGGTTGAGGAAAATGAGTGAGAGAGTAAGAGAAATAATAGAGTAAGATAGTAAGATATGAAAAAAAAGAGTGTGTTGTGTGTTTATATAGAAAACTAAAACATAACCTTTGGAAAAAAAATGAACGTTGCTGACTTCAACTTGCTGATACAAATTTTGTCCGTTGTAGCTTCAAACAAATTTGTCCATTGCTAACACTGGCCCACCATTACACACATCATTCTACCATTACACGCATCATTCATCAGAATGATGCGTGTAATGGCCTACCTCTCATGACACTCCGTTGCAAATGCTCTAAGAATAATGAAGTAGGGGTTGGTTGTAGAGGTCAACCCTAAGCCGTTTACAATTTCATAGAAATCTTTATTTATGTTTTTTTTATAAAAATATAAAAATGGTACAAGTTCTAATTAGCATCTCTCATGTGCGTTCTAGATTAATTGCTTTTAGAAAGGAAGAGTTGGAATTTAAAAATTAAGAAAAGGAAAATGGGATTCGAACTAGGGACTTCTATGTACATTATGTCTGATCTAAACTAAAATTAGTCATTCATGGAAAAAATACCAAATTTTACGACGTTTTCTTTTTTTTTTTTCTTTTAATTTTACCATGTTCATGAAGCCAAAAAAGAGAAAAGTACGATCAATCACCTCTCCCATCTAGCAACCAAAAAAAAAATTCTCTTTCATAATGGAAAAAAAAAATACAATTTACATGTCAAGTTTTGACTATGGACGAATTTGAATTCATGTTAATGGAGGTGCATAAATTTTTTTTTTTCTACATATAAGAAAGAAGGTTGAGATGCCTTTTGAATAAAATAGGAAGTAGTTATGCCATAGGTGCTATAGATAATTTACTCTTGCATTTTATCTCTCCAAACTACAATCAATGTTTTATTTTCTCATTTAGTGCTTTGCACGAAAGGCCAAACTACAATCAATCATAGGCGCTACAGATAATTTACTCTTGCATTTTATCTTTCCACAGTACAACCAATGTTTTATACTGTCATTTAGTACTTTGCACGAAAGGCCAAAAAAAAGAAAAGTTCAAGAAAGCCCTCAAACGAGCAAACATTTATCTTTCTTGTTACTACATTTGCCAAACCAGCGTCCATTTAGAACGATCAAAAGATTTTAATTATGTATAACATCAATTGTTTCAAAGCAGTTTCTGTCAAAAAAAAAAGACAGCATCTCGTCAGGTCCTTCATGTCTCATTACATTGAACTTAGTTAATCTAGTCCTGTCATATTTCGAACTTTGATGCTAAGTATATGAATAGGTAACATCAGAGTTAGCAACTTTGAACACAAAGTAATCGTCGTTTTACCCAGCAAGATGTTAAAGAGCACTAAATTTACTCTGCATTTGCAATATGGATGAACAACAGAATGGGTACATGCAAAACGATTCACACCCATGAAAACACTCTTCACATGCAACATTTTATCCCCATCTGTTTTTGTTAGAGCCATTCTATATATTTCTTAAACAATTGGAGTTCAACCCTGTAATGGAAGTTCTTGCATCTGGAAGATGAAACCTGGTGCAAGAGAAATTGTCTACATCCTGAATCTTTGAAAATGATGATGCAGTGTAAATTTTCTAGAATACTACTAACATCCATCATTGATTACCATCTGCAACATAAGCATTCTTCTATACACCTTGGATGGTTTCATTGAAAAGGTACATGTGATGCAATTGCATGCTGTAGATTGTTTCTCTCAGAGCATTTGGTCCTAGATTCATGAGAACCTGTAGCAAGAAGCTTCAACATTATTTTAAACAGAAAAAACTTGACACAATAAGTATGCTATCGTTGTTGACTTCTTAGAACCTTCTCTAGCTTCTTACTTTCTAAAGTAAATTTTCAGTATCTTAATCTAGAATGCGCTTACCTTTTAAAATTATCCAGTTCTTCATAATTTCAACCTACTATTAATTACGATTCTAAAAGCTCCTATTAATAGTTTTCTTGATCAGAAAGTCTTTCTTTCATGTCAAAACATAGAACCTAGAAGTTATTGCTACATCTGCTTCTACATACTGAAACAGGTTCTGAATAATGACGGATACGGATGAAAATTAAAAGCCTCAAAGAAGTTCAAGCAGAAAAGGAGAAAATGTATTAAACCTCATTTGCATCTTTGAAGCAGTTGATTTCATCTTTCTTTGGCCAGTGTACTCTCCAGCATCTAATTGCAAACATATAACGTACAATTTAGAGGATGACAGAAAACTACAGTAGTACATTTCATCTTAAGCCTCTATCACTAAGCAAGAAATTGGATATAAAGGTCTAAAATCTAAGACACAGAGCAAGCACACTATTTGATTTGCTAAAAGGGTGAAAGCTGAACATCCCTAGCATCCAAAATTATCAGTTAATAACTTCTTCATGGCATTTGAAAGTTTTATGGATATTATGAATTTCTTCTAGCACGTAAACTTATGGAGCAACGGACTAGGAAATCATATATGCACTCTTTGACCTTAACCATTTGTTAAAGGAGAATAAAAAAACGTTGAGTTCGACTTTGACTTCTGAAAAGATTGACACAGTTGGCAACTCATCGTATTCAAGAGCTTTTTATGAAATAAATGATATAAGACACTATACTTTGACCTTTCTCTTCCTAGTCGCCGTGCTAGTTCTTCAGCTAAAGCATCACCAGACACATCAGCATCAGTAGCAATTATTATGCGCGATGCCTAAAAGAAAAATATCATTAGTGATTAAAGTAAATTAAGTATAACAATATTGTCTCGTAAGTGCAAATAAAAGTTTTGAGCAGACATCAGCTTTCTATAGCTTACCTTGTTCAAGTACTTTTTGCAGTTCCATATATACTGAAATCCAGTGTCCTGGCTCACAAATATGCACAAGAAACCAAGAATAAACACTGAATCCAGTATATAATAAATATTGACATTTGGGGAAAAAATTTCTGAATTCAAGTTACATAAAGATCAACAAGCTATCCAAGTAGTAGAAATAGCACCAGTGTAGAACTAAAAATCTTCAAATGCATAAATTTATGGCTGCTGGCACTTGTGTTACTTAAAATGGTGGTCTCTCGGGTAATGACAATGCATGTTTAAATCGACCAATTTTTTCAAAAGTTTCGCGAGTTTTTTCGAGATCAATTCAAACCACCAAATACCTTGAAAAATCCTGATTTCTCGTGATTTTTTCTTTCATAGAAGCAGCTATCAACACGAAAAACTAGCACAGGAATTGCGAATAGTCAAGAAAAATTTATGTACTCAGGCTTCATATGTTCAGGAACGGTGTAACCTATGCCATATTTAGTGAAGGGGATCAACTTTGTACTCTCGAATAATAGACTGGCTTAATTAACAAGAGTTTGAGTTCGAGTAACAATCAGATGTCAAATCCATTTCAGGAAGCATTATGGCTCCTCAGCCTTAGGTTTTAACAGCTGGTGAAATTCAAATTAGAAAGAACCTTTTCCAGAGTCGGTAATTCTTTGATAGAAACTGTCTGTGGCGCACCAGCAGGAACACTCACGCAGTTAGAAATGCCAGCTTCTTCCAGTGAGAGCTTGTCTATCTCACCTTCAACCTTTGATGGTATTAACGATGTCAAAACAAAGACAAAAACAAATGTGACAATCAAGAGTATGAAACCATTACAGTACTTACAATGATAACCTCATCTGCTTCTTTTATGTCATCAAGTCCATATAATGTCTTTTCTGTACCCTTCTCCTGATAATCAAAAGGAGAAATATCAGCAAAACAAGGCCAGCTTTGAAAAGGCCTGGATAACCTTCTTTATACTCAACTGAAATATATTGGATAATACCTTATAAAGAATTTGTTAAAAAACTGATAAAAATTGCAGTAAACCAGCTAAGAAGAAAAATCTTAATTTTGTGACTCTAGAATGTTCATTTAACCAATTCTTCAAACAACCAGTGGTGATAATAATTAACTAAATCAAACAGAGAAATTAGTGTGTTTAATGACTACATATTCCGTCAGATAGAATGCTGCAGAACAATGGACATAGCGTTCAAACAACTGTTGTAGGACTGCATTAAGAGCCATGAATTCTATCATCAAGGTTAAGCTTTTCTCTCCTTGCCATTTTCATCAAGTTCAAAAGTTCTTTTTTCTCCTGGACTCTTGAGCATCAAATATCATCACGTGATAGAATACAGGCAATCAATTATACAAGCACCACTGTTTCCAAGTACGAAACAAATTCTCAGAATTAGTCCTAGTAAGTTAACAAAAATTTTAATTTTGGTTTACCACTTCCTCTGAGGTAAAAGTACATTAGATTTCAAAAGTGGAGAGAGAGAGAGAGAGAGCAAAGATTTTAATCTGAGAAATAAAAAAGTTCTAG